TACATATAGGGATGCATTTTTATAGGGGTGAACAACGACTTTCCAGAACTGACTGAAATCTCTCTTAGGATCTTGGGCAAAGAGGCTGGGACAGCTGGTCTGTCCTGTCTCACACCTTTGCTCTTTTTTAACAGCCAGCTGTTAAAAAATCTTGTTTGTAGACTGCTCAGGCTACATCTTACAATTCATTTCTCCCCTCCTCCAGCAGCCGTAGGGAAGACCATTCAGGAATTCTGCTCCTATAGTTGCTGGAAATCTTTTTCTAAATTTTCCTGTTCAGATGTTTTTTTGAACTCATTCAACCACTGTGCTTCATGCATGGCTTTTTAGGCTGTTGGCAGCCAGTCTTGCAAAGGACTTCATTATACCTGAACTTTCTTGCTTACATCTACGGGAAATTCCACACTTCATATGTCTTCATAGTGAAATTGCCGTTTATGTCTTGTATTCATCTTGTCACTGACTGCTTACACTCAACCCTCTTCCTCTTCTGTCACTTGCAATTGCCAAGACTCCAGTTTATGTCAGAGGTTATGTATAGTTATGTGAGAGCCCTAAATATTCTTAAATTCCTTCCTTGAAATTCTTATTCCAGCACTTATGCTCTGCTGTTCTTTCTGTACAAAATTTCTCATTATGGATGATAGCACCCTATCTTGTGTTACAAACTGGTAGTCCGTAGCAGTTCAAATATGCAGTAATGTTTTCTTACTGTAACATTCAGAGTGAATGTCGAATTCAAAACCATCAGAGAGTTGTGTTACGTTCAGTTTTCCCAGTATGGATTATCCGTATGTTTACACATGGAATACTCATATAAATATAGATAGACACATATATGTCTCAGGTATTTAATAAATAGTGAATCATGTAAGTAATATGAAAAATCGCAAATCTTGTATTACATAAAACAGCTTTCCAGGAGAGAAAACAATTGAGTGACTACTTTTACTGTCCTCATTCCTATGGCAACATTTTATCCCCCCCCCCCCTTCCAGTTTGATGCTTACTATGGTTTTGTGATTTCAGGTATAATAACTCAATAACTTCTTTCTCCTTTGAAACTTTGTCCTTAGTCTTCAATACCTGGATAAGTTATTTTTCTGAATTCTGCAGTACCACTAATTCAAAACCTGGGAAATCTGGACTTTAGAGAAAATCACTTTGGAAGACCTCAATGCTCAATGGCAGTGCACTCTTCTGGCTAGGAAAGTAGGCTTTCTACAAGAAACTTCTCATTGTAGCCATGAATAAATTTTACTCACCTGGAAAAGGTATATATATATTATTTAAAAGAGGGAAAAAAATAAAATTAAAAAATTCTGACAACATCTGGGCAGAGGGGCTCAAAGACGATCCCACTTGCACTCTAAACTCTGACCCAGTGGTCTAAATCCTGTCACTTACAAATAATGTGACTTGTCTCAAAATTATGAACCATTCTCCCCTGTCACAACATCTTCTGTTCCATGTTTTATAGAAGAAAAAAGCCAACCCAGTATTGGAAATGTGGGATGGTCAAACATTCCCAAGTGTGTGTTCACCCAGGAAGGAATGGTGCCTTACTGCCATGAATCCAACTTTATGATCACTGAGGGGGGGTGGGGGTGGGGGGGTGGAAATTGTAACTAACATTTGAAAAAACTTAAGAATCACAATGTATTTATGTTGTAACCAAGTATTGTGTACCTTTAAAAAGAGATTTCTTTTATCTGTAAATCTCTCACTGAATCAAGGCTATTATTAAATGCCTCAAGGACAGTGTAATCCTGAGAAGCTAAAGTTACTCTGTTTTAATACCTTTTCTGTTATTGTTCCTCTAATAAGAGTGTCTGTAAGTTTTTCAATTAAAGTAAGTTTTCTGTAGGGTTTTTTTTATTTTATCATATCCACCCATGACAAAACGTGATTTTTCTTCCACATTGCAGGTTTTCAAAAACTTCTTATGAAAGCAGCTTCTTACTATCTCTACTTCCAGGGGTGAAGCTGAGAGACTTCATCACATTGTTAGTCATTGCCTGAAAATAAATTTTTCTTTTCCTGCTTTACCAGCATACCATTATGCTCATCTTTACTCCCCAAATTGACTATCTGTTTTCTTGAGGAAATCTAGGTGTATTTTTCATCACCAGCTTTATATTTCTTCCAACATGTGCACCAGCTTAGAGTTTCTTATTTCTCACAGTGTTACCTCATAGAAAGTACTGTTTTCTTCAGTGAGGGAAATTCGTGTGCTCTTCAAGTAATGAAGTGCCATTTAAACCTTTATTCAAGGCTGATGTTGGAAGTCTAATGGCTTACATACCACATTCTGGCCACAGTGGTGCTTTCCCAAATGCCACCAAACTATGCAGGTGGATTTGTTTAGTTTAAGTAGTGCCATTACTGTGCTATGGACTAGAAATAAGGGAACAGAACTCTGCAGTGCCCCGGTCAACAGATCTTGTTTGCAAATAACTTGACAGTAAAAAAAGACAGTGAGAACATGTATCAATTCTGGATTTAAAAAATTACCTTTGACATGATTGAAAAAAAGGTTGACCAGGGTTTTTCTCTGCCTCACTTTTGGTAAGGTTATCTGATAGTTCTTCTCTTATCATGTCTCTCTTCATATGTCAGGCTTTTGGGAAACTAAGAACATCAGGATTTCTCCCTAATTGGAAGTCTAGATGTCAAGCTGGTAGTAGATCATTCAGTAGCAGATCTGTCACCAGTTGTGTATAGAATCTAGTTCTGTATATTTTTAGTTCTTTAAAATGTCAATGTACTTAATAAATTCGAGTTTCCCTATTGCATCATCAGAACAAGTACTATTTTTTTAAATAGTTCATAACCCCAAAAGTTTTGTGTGCCTGTGTGCAGTGTTTTCGTAATATGAGTATAGTTGCTTTTAATGTTTGGTTTTGGTTCTGTTTTTTTTTTAAAGTTTCCTTTGCAGAGCCATGTTCATTATGCTTTCTTTGCCTTTTTTACAAAGTTATTTATAATAAAATTCAGAACTTATGATGAAGAATATTTTTTAATAATATCTTGGTAAGTGGGAAGGAGGAAATAAATGTGCAGACCTGGATTGTATAGACAATTCCTCTTGTCAGAACTTAGACAATGTTTTTGATGGAGTTGCTGATGCATGGCTGAAGAAATTAGTACCCAAACCATATGTTTTCAAAACAGCTTCTTTTAACTAAGGGTACCTTAGAGAACATACAGTATACACAGTAAAAGTCAGCCCAAATCACTCATGTTTTAGAACTTATGAGGAAAAAAAAAAAAAAAAGCAAGAGGGAGGAACAGAATTAGGAAAGCATATTTAAGAGAGAAGGATAAAAATAGAATTTGCATTTTTCCCAGCGTATGTAGTAACTGAAGGATAATAGTTTAAGGTTTGTGGAAGGCTTATATGCTGAATAAAGTGGAAATGTATTTACCTAATGCTGTTGGGATTAACTTTCCATTATGAGGCAATAGGTTTATGTTAGTAATTGATATCTTCTTCCTATACACCTACAGGTGAAATCAGACTGCCCTAAGTAAACATTGCGAACAGTAGAAAAGGATAGCAGATTATCAGAATGTACATATGTATTTTTGTGTAATTAAACTGGTGTTGCTTAATTGGCAGTTGAGGTGACAAAAAGGGACAGTGGCATATGAAATAGTGCCATATAAATGAATAATTAGCAATTTAAGGCCACTTAATTTTTCCTTTAATATAGGACCTTGTGCTCCTTGATAGAATTGAGAAGTGACACATTCAAAACTGGTGGAGAGGTGCTCTTTCTCTCCCAGAGTACATAGCTGACTTGGAGCACTGTTTGGTGTCAGTGCAGCAATAAAATCAGCAGGATTCTGAAGCCTCATACTCCCACTAACTAAAAAATGTTAGGGTCTACTAGATCACCAGTGTTTAATATGAAGATGTGAGGGTAGGTGTATGAGTATTTCTGGGCAGTGAAAAGCAGTAGTAGGAAAGTAGACAGTAGGAAAGTAGAAAGTAGAAAAGTAGACAGTAGGAAAGTAGAAAGTAGAAAAATGTTTTTATTCTAAAAACTGAGGCATGCATTCTCATCATGTAAAGATTTCTTGTAAGACACCTTTGCTAGCAGCAGTAACACAGTATTAAATACAAAAGAGCTTCCCTAATGTCATGGTTTAAGCCCAGCCAGTAACTTAGAACCATGCAGCCACTTCAGCCACTTGCTCACTCTGTTTCTTCCTTCCTGCTCTTGGCAGGATGGGGAGGAGAATCTAAAGAATGTAAATCCCACAGGTTGAGGTAAGAACAGTTCAGTAACTAAGGTATAACACAAACCCACTACTGCTACCACCAATAATAATAATGGTAAGGGGAATAACAAGGGAAGAGAATATAAAACTTGAAAGGGAAGAAAAAAAACAAAGCCCAAGTGATGTACAATACAATTGCTCACTACTCACCCACCGATACCCCACCCAACCCAAGTGGCAGTCTGGGCCTTCTGGGTAACTCCCCCCAGTTTATCTACTGGGCATGACATGCTGTGGTATGGAATACCCCTTGGGCTAGTTTGGGTCAGGTGTCCTGTCTCTGCTTCCTCCTGGCTTCTTGTGCCCCTCCTCACTGGCAGAATATGAGAGTGTTTTAAAAGTCCTTGATCTGGGTAAGCATTACTTAGCAACAACTAAAACCAATGGTGTGTTACCAGCATCGTTCTCAGACTAAAGCCAAAACACAGCACTGCACCAGTTACTAAGAAGGAGAAAAATAACAGAACCCAGGACACTTAAGTACCAACTTTAAAAAGTCAGTGCTTTAATTAAAGCATGGCTATTCTGAACTAGTCAATGCTGTCTGACTAGTTGATTTTAATTAGCATTCAGTAACCAGTGCACTGCTAGGACAGGACTGACTTTTGTTTTTCAGACATTATTTTAAACCAAATTATAATACATGTTTGGAATTAATACTGAAGTTACTAATCACAAAAGAGAATAATCCATTTCTGTATTCTTTTTCCCAGACACCCGAGGAGCTAGAAGATGTATCCGATCTTGAAGAGGACCATGATGCACGTAGTCGTACAAGTATCCAGACTGAAGGGAAAACTGACAGAGTATGTATTATACCAGTTGATTTAAAAAATAATTTGATGACAGGAAAAATGCTAATAGTGATACTGCTCCTACAAAGCCACTTAAAGGCATGCAGCAAATCATTAAAATCTTTTTCAACTCTTAATAGATTTTTGAAAATGTGGTGAGGGCATAAAAGTGATGTGTATGATCTGAAAGAGTGAAAGACAGTGTAATTAAGTGGTAAACACTTGGTGCACACGTAAATTAGAAAAATTCTTAATGAATAAAATTCTACCACGTTACAGTTTCATAAATGTGTCTTGGTCTAATAGAAACTAGGTTTCTTTTGGTCTTATGCAATTGAAGCCTGCAATGCAACTCAACAAAAAAATAACCTCTATGTACAAGAAAATTCACATGCACAGAAGAGAAAGGGATATATATCTGGAAATTTAGCCATTCCAGTGCATGAGTTACAGGCATTTCCTGCTGTGTTCATGTGTGAACCTATTCTATAGTTTATTGCTTAACTGGGGAAATAATAAAGAAATGTGAAGAAATTCATACGGCATTGACAATTTCAGTGTTTCTGGAAGTGCTTAATCAGGTTTTCCTGTTGTATCCTCATTTAATCTAAGGACTTCAGTACATTACAGTTTATTGTATTAAAAAGCCTATTGTTTTTAAGCGCCTGAAAACATTTTTGAGATAGCAAAAGGTTTCTTAGTACAAAATAGATGCATTTAGCAAACAATATTCTTTATGTTTCAGTTTTAAATCATGTTTCAGCAAAACTGTATGTTCACAACTTTCTGAAGTGAAAAGATCCATGGGACCAGAAATGTCTACTTTATTATTTGTTTACTTAATGCCTAGAACAATAACATCTCTCTCACACTGGGTTAATTGTAGTATTATTCCCATTATGAAAATTACAAATTATAGAACTATCTGGGAAAAAGCAAAACTTCTCAGTATAAAAAGAGTTATGTGAAGAAAATGGCATTTTAATTCACATCTGTTTTTCAGGATGCATAGTTTTTAATTCAACAAAACCAAATATTTTCTTTATTAAGACCCAATAAACATAATTGGCAACTAAAATATACTACCGGCCCTTTTCAATTTAAAATACTCTTTGGAAATGTTAGCACATTTTCCCCATGTTACAGGCTGAAATTTCTATTGTAGTTAAGAAAGGCAAGGTTTTCCTTCAAAATGTTAACCACATAGGATGCTTTCAACTTGTTTGGAACAGCTACAGATGCTTGTGCTTGCATATTTTCATAAATACCCCATAATAAAAGCACTTGAAGTTTTTCCTCTTACAGGGAGAACAGAAGTTGAAGTTTGTAGATGTTTACTGTCACAGTGTAGTAACAAAAGATCCACTAAACCTTTAAAAGATCATGTTTACATATGTGGTCTTCCACTTCTCAGTTTAAACAGAGTACTACTTTAAAGGGAATGGGGTTTGGGACAAAAAAATAAAAACAACTGATAGGTAACACCTATTTCCAGATGACTACATGAAACAGTAAGTAAATGCTGAAGACTGTTGTAGGTAGGGATCTGGGTACTGAGAATCAGAGGCATAGTTTATTGCTGCGGAGAGGTACCTTCGGCATATGGTTTTCTGTGTATTACACACGTAATATATAATTTGTACTGCCCGTGAATTTGGTGGGGAGGTGGAAGTGACCATTATTTATAGATAAACTATAGTTAATACATCTGAAAAAACACCAGCAACAGTATTTTAACAGTATAGGATGTGCATTTCTATTTTTTTTCTATTTCTCCTCAAAATAATACAGTTACTGTAAATGTTCCTTTTGGGGGTATCTAGATAGCAGTCATTGCTTAATGCCTCATTCTGTATCTTTATTTGGGAACAATTTTCCTATATTTTAGATTATATCAGGGCCATAACTGGTGCATTACACCCAAAAATAATAGAAAATTATAGCTTGAATTAAAGTAGGTACATGTCCTCTCAGCCTAAATCAACATATTGACAAAACCTTCATGAACATTTTTCTTAAACAAGTGTTTGAACAAATGTATTTTCTGCTGCAGCAACCATGAACAATGATTTAAGGTTTCTTTTTTTGGACTGCTTTTTGATAACGGTATTTGAAGATTTATACCTAGAACCTATTTAGCAATATGAATGTCGTGGTTTAAACCCAGCCAGACAGCTTTTTCACTCGCTCCCCCCCTTCTTGCTCTCCCCCTGCTCCCGGAGGGATGGAGAGGACAATCAAAAAGAATGCAACTCCCATGGGTTGAGATAAGAACAGTTTAGTAACTAAGGTATAACACAAATCACTACTGCTACCACCAATAATAATAATGATAAAGGAAATAACAAGGGAAGAGAACACAACACCTCAGCACCAGCTGACCAATAACTCGCCCCTCCCAGCCCAACCAAGCACCGACCGATACCTCCTCCAACCCTGCAGTCACCTATCCCTTCCGGGTAAGTCCCAGTTACCTCCTCAGCATGACATGCTGTGGTATGGAATACCTTTTTGGTCAGTTCGAATCAGGTGTCCTGTCTCTGTTTCCTCCCTGCTTCTCCTCCTCCCTGGCAGAGCATGAGGCTCACAAAGTCCTTGGCCAGACCATCAGTGTTATCAGCTCTGTTCCCAGGCCGAAAGTCAAAACACAGCACTGCACCAGCTACCAAGAAGGAGAAAAATGACTGCTACTGCTGAACCCAGGACAATATAGAATCTGTATAGGGAAGGTAGTTTTTAAGGCTTAGATAGGTGTTGTCTTGGTTTTTGTTCTGCGCTAGATTTCTGTGCTATTGCAAGGCTTTTGCATGCAGCGGTAACACTAAGAATGAGTGTTCCAGAAGTGAGATGGCAAGATTGCAGAGTAACCTTTTTTCCTTTTTAAGCTCTTTCTTTTGGGTGTTTCCACTATAGTAATTCAATTTATTTGTACATATCCCTCTCAATACTAGTTTGCGTAACAGCACTCTGGATTCCTCTTGCTTTGTCAATTTGTTTTTCCATTTTATGGATGGTAGATAATATTTTATAAACAAGAATATTTATTGTTTAATTGTAGCAAAACAGTGTGTTAATAGTTGCTGTATGTAACTGAGTTCTTCATGGCCTGTGGTGCAAGAGATGGACCACTTCACAGAGAAGGTGCTCAGTATACAGTAGAGCCATCAAGACAAAGAGACCAAAAGATTTTGCTTCCAGTGGCAGAGGTATTATGAAGGGGCAGGACTGCCATATGGCCACATAATATCTTAGCCCGTCTACTTATTACTAATGGTTTCACAGACACCACAGCCCCTGTTACATGGAAGTAATTTATTCAGCTCAACCCAGTGATAGCATATAGATCTTAAAATCCAGAAGTGCTCAGGCTGGGACAGTTAGCTCAGGCCACAGTATGTTTAAACTACATATTTAATAATATCCAGAGATTTAGTTTTAAAAAAGAAAAATAGCCAGACATAAAAGTTTTGCAAATCAAATTATTTTATGTTTCAGGCAAAGATGACTCAACTGCCAGAGGCTGAAAAGGAAAAGATAGCTGAGCAAGTGGCTGACTTCAAAAAAGTCAAGAGTAAGCTTGATGCAGAGATTGAAATATGGGACGATACTAGCAATGACATCATTGTTTTGGCCAAGAGGATGTGTGTGATTATGATGGAGATGACTGACTTCACAAGGTAATTATGCAAAAAAAAGGTATTTCAGTATTTATAAATATTGGAGGCCATTTTCATATTGTTACAGCAGGAAATATGCAGATTCTTAATGTCAGGCATCATTACAAAATTGAGTACCTAAGCTAATGTAGTTACTGTTGGCACACTAGCTAGTAGTACTGAAAGGCTGGAAGGGAGGTTTGAAGTTTTGAACTATATTTGTCATAGAATCATAAAATAGTTAGGGTTGGAAAGGATCTTAAGATCACCTAGTTCCAGTCCCCCTGCCATGGCAGGGACGCCTCACACTAGACCATGTCGCCCAAGACTCTGTCCAGCCTTGGTTGAACAGGCATGGAGTATTTACAGGCATGGTGTATTTACAGTTTCTTTGGGCAACACCTTCCAGTGCCTCACCACTCTCAAAGTAAAGAACTTTTTCCTTATATCTAACCTAAACATCCCCTGTTTCAGTTTGGACCCATTACCCCTCGTCCTGTCACTACAGTCACTAATGAGGAGTCCTTCCCCACCATCCTTCTAGGCCCCCTTCAGATACTGGAAGTCTGCTATGAGGTCTCCATGCAGTCTTCTCCAGGCTGAACAGCCTCAGCTTTCTCAGCCTATCTTAATACAGGTGGTGCTCAACCTCCCTTATCATACTTGTGGTCCTCCTCTGGACTTGTTCCAACAGCTCCACGTCCTTCTTACGTTGAGGATGCAGAACTGCACACAGTACTCTAAGTGAGGTCTCACAAGAGCAGAATAAAGGGGCAGGATCACCTCCTTTGACCTGCTGGTCATGCTGCTTTTGATACAGCCTAGGATAAAGTTGGCCTTCTGGGCTGTGAGCGCACGCTGCTGGCTCATGTTCAGTTTCTCATCAACCAATACCCCCGAGTCCTTCTTCGCAGGGCTGCTCTGGATCTCTTCTCTGCCCAACCTGTAGCTGTGTCTGGGATTGCTCCGACCCAGGTGTAGGACCTTGCACTTGGCATGGTTAAACTTCATGAGGTTGGCATTGGCCCACCTCACAAGCATGTCAATTTCCCTCTGGATGGCATTCCTTCCCTCCAGCATATCAACCGAACCATACAGCTTGGAGTCATCGGCAAACTTGCTGAGGGTGCACTCAATCCCACTGTCCATATCGCTGACAAAGATGTTGAACAACATCAGTCCCAACACCGACCCCTGAGGGACACCACTTTTTATTGGTCTTTAGTTGGACATTGAGGCATTGACCACAACTCTTTGCATGTGGACATCTAGTCATTTCTTTATCCACCAAGTAATCCATCCATCAAATTGATGTCTCCAGTTTAGAAACAATTATGTTGTGTGGGACAGCATTGAACACTTTGCACAAGCCCAGGTAGATGACATTAACTGCTTTACCCCTGTCCATCAGTTCTGTATCCCTATCATAGAAGGCCACCAAATTGGTCAGATAGATTTCCCCTTAGTGAAGCCATGTTGGCTGTCACCAACCACCTCATTGTTTTTCATGTGCCTTAACATGCTTTCCAGGAGAATCTGCTCAAAGATTTTTCCAGGCACTGAGGTGAGACTGACTGGCCTGTAATTCCCCAGGTCATCCATTTTCCCCTTCTTGACAATGGGGGTTATATTTCCCTTTTTCCACTAGTAGAGTATTCCACCTGACTGCCACAATTTTCCTAATATGATGTGCAATGGCTTAGCAGCTTCATTCGCCAGCTCCTTGTCGTGGTTTAACCCCAACCAGAAAACTTGTTCACTCACTCCCCCCGCCTTCTTGCCCCCCCCCCCTATTCTCGGAGGGACGGAGAGGAGAATCAAAAAGAATGCAACTCCCATGGGTTGAGATAAGAACAGTTTAGTAACTAAGGTATAACACAAATCACTACTGCTACCACCAATAATAGTAATGATAAAGGAAATAACAAGGGAAGAGAATACACCACCCCATCACCAGGCGACCGATAACTTGCCCCCCCAGACCGATCAAGCACCGACCGATACCTCCTCCAACCCTGCAGTCCACCTAGCCCTTCTGGGTCCCTCCCAGTTACATCCTGGGCATGACGTGCTGTGGTATAGAATACTTCTTTGGTCAGTTTGGGTCAGGTGTCCTGTCTCTGCTATCTCCCGGCTTCCCCTCCTCCCTGGCAGAGCATGAGGTTCACAAAGTCCTTGGCCAAACCGAAACATCATTTTTATCAGCTTTGTTCCCAGCCCGAAAGTCAAAACACAGTACTGCACCAGCTACCAAGAAAGAGAAAAAATGACTGCTAGTGCTAAACCCAGGACACTCCTTCAGGACCATGGATGGATTTCATCAGGTCCCAAGGACTTGTGCACATTCAGGTTCTTAAGATGATCTCAAACCTGATCCTCTCCTACAGTGGGCCTAAGTTCTTCATTCTCACAGTCCTTGCATCTGCCTTCGGCGGTGTGGTCAGAGCACTTGCCAGTGAAGACTGAGGCAAAGAAGTCATTGAGAACCTCAGCCTTCTCCAAATCCAGGGTAGCCAGCTGTCCCGATAGCTTCTGGAGAGGGCCCACATTATCCCTAGTCTGTCTTTTATTTGCCACATACCTATAGAAGCCCTTTCCATTATCTTTCACATCCCTTGCCAGACTCCATTCTGACTGGGCCTTAGCTTTCCTTATCTGGTCCCCAGCTTCCGTTACAACATCCATGTATTCTTCCCAGGCTTCCTGTCTTCGCTTCCACCTTCTATAAACTTCTTTTTTCCCCTCTAAGTTTTCTCAGCAGCTCATTATCCATCAGTGGAGGTCTCCTGGCCTTCTTGCTCCATTTCCTTCTTGTCAAGACACCAATGCTCCGGAGCTTGGAGCAGGTGATCCTTGAATATCAACCAGCAGTCTTGAGCCCCCCTGCCCTCTAGGGCTTTTTCCTAGGAACCTTACTGAGCAGGCTTCCGAAGAGGCCAAACTCTGCTGTCTTGGAGCCCAGTGCAGTGAGCTTGCTGCATGCTTTTCTCACTGTCCTGAGGATCTTGCACTTGACCATCTCATTATCTCTACAGCCAAGGCTTCCCTACAATCAGCCCCTCGCTGTTGGTGAGCACAAGGTCAAGCATGGCACCTCTCCTAGTTGGCTCCTCTGTTACTTGCAAGAGTAAGTTGTCTTCCACACAACCGAGGAACCTCCTGGACTGCTTGTACCAGGCCATACCATACCCTCAAGAAGGTATTAGCATGTTTGAAGTCCATCGTGAGGACAAGGGCATGCAATCGTGAGATTGCTCCTATCTGTAGAGTGCTTCATCCACCGAATCCTCCTGATCAGGCGGTCTGTAACAGATCCCCTATCACGGTTCTCCCTTTGACCCTGACCCACAAAATCTCTGTTGACTGATCACCTGTCCCTAGATGGAGTTCCATTCTTTCCAGCCTGTCACTGACACAAATAGCAACTCCCCCTCCCCGTCTGCCTGGCCTGTCTTTATTCTGAACAGCTCATAACCTTCCATTCCAACACTCCAATCATAGGAGCCATCCCACCATGTTTCTGTGATGCCAATGATATCATATCCCTGTAGCCAGAGTGTGGCGATGGATCAATGACCCCTCCCCCAACACATCTAGTTTAAACCCACCTTGACCAGCCTGGCAAGTCTCCCGCCAAAGAAGCTCTTCCCCTTCTTTGTCAGCAGCTCCACCATCCTCCAGTAGATCTGGCCTCCCAAAATGAGTCCCATGTTCTAAATAACCAAACTCCTGACTATGGCACCACCATTCTAACCATTTATTAACCTGCCAAATCCACCTGGCCTTTTCAAGCTCCTTCCCTTTGACCTGGAGGATTGATGAAAAAAACTATCTGAGCTCCAGAACCCCAAGCCACCTCTCCCAGGGCTCTGGAGTCCTTCTTAATGTTGTCCAGGCTACTGCTATCTGTATCGCTAGCACCCACATGAACCACTAGAAGTATGTAATAGTATTACATGCCTAGACCAGGCAGCCTCTCAGCAACATCCCTGATCCGAGCCCCTGGTAGGCAACACCTCCCTCAAGACTGGGTCAGGAAGACACATGGGTGCCTCTGTGCCCTTCAAAGTAGAGTCACCTGCTACTATAACCCTCCACTCTTTCCTGGGTGCACCAGCAGTGGTCCTCTTTACTGGTGCATCAGCAGGTTGTTCATTTGGTGCGGTGTGTGTTTCCTTGTTAGCTCCCTGCAGAGCTGTGAATCAGTTCTACGTGGGGAAATCAGATTTTGGAGGAAGACCTTTGCTTGTAATTCTCCTCTTCCTCCTTTCTTTGTGTTGTTTTTATATTTGTTACTAGCTCCCAGCTTCCTGGATTAATGCCCTCCTTTTCTGTATGCCCTGTGGTGGACACTTGAGGCTCCTGCACAGTTTGGGCCTGGAGCAAGCAGTCCAGTTCCCTCTCAGCTTCCCTGACATCTTTCAGCCTACTGACAGTGTCCCGCAGCTCAGGCCCTGCTGCAGGAGGATCTCCACCAGGGCACACTGAGTGCAGCCCTGTCAGTTATGCACTCCTGCCTCCATAGACAAATGGAAGCATCAGTTACACTCAGAGGTCTGCGCTGCAGCCTCCCCTCTCACCGACTGTGTCTGGTTCCGATACTGCCACTGCTGGGGCATCCAGAGCAGAGTTCCCAGACCAGGCCCTGGCCCTGAGGCGAGCGCTCCCCATCCTGTTTGCTACCCACTCACACTGCTGGGGCAAACTGCTGCACCACGCCCTGCTCCAGCGTTCCTGGTCGCTCACACACCCCTTTGCTGTGTTCTACCTGCTCCGGGCAGCGCCGTCCCTCCTGGCACCGGCCCCTCTGGGTCCCTGCTCGCATCAGCAAATCTGTGGGCTTCTGGGCAAGACCTTTCGAGGTGTTGAGGCTCCCCCAGTGGCTCTCACTGCTCAGAACTGAGGCTCCTGGAAGCGGGGTTCCCCCTTGCTCCAGGATTGAAGGCTCCTCTATGGAGATACCCACCTCGTCCTTAATTTGTGTGGGTTTTTTTTCTTTTCATTCTTTTATTCATTTGGTT